CTAGTGTAACTCTGATACCAAAACCAGGCAAGGATCCCACAAGAATTGAGAACAACAGACCAATATCATTAGTGAACATCAATGCAAAAATCTTTAACAAAATACTGACCAATAGAATACAAACATATATAAAACAAATAATTCACCATGACCAAGTGGGATTCATACCAGGGATGCAGGGATGGTTCAACATGACATGAAAAACTATAAGGACCACATGATAATTCAATAGCGTGATAATATCAATAGGTGCAGAAAAAGCATTCAACAACATCCAACACCAATTCCTGTTTAAGACATTCAAGAAGATAGGAATGGAGCTATATATGAAAAACCAATAGCCAACGTGGTAGTCAATGGAGAAAAGATGAAAATAATCACACTAAAAAAGGGGGCCAGATAAGCATGCTCCTTGTCTCTACTCCTATTTTACATTGTACTGGAGATCTTAGCTAACACCATAAGGCAAAGAAAAGACACCAGAAGTATTTGCCTGGGACAGGAAGAGGTGAAACTATCATTATTCACAGGTTACATGATTTTATATATGGAAAATCCCAAAAGCTATGCAAGGGGAGTCCTGGAAGCAACAGAGGAATATGACAGGATGGCAGAATACAAGATCAACAAATAGAAGTCTACCAGATGGCTATACATACTGCACAAGACCACAGAACAGGAGATCAAAAAGGTGGTACTCTTCACAATAGCCAAACACAAATTGAAATATCTAGGGATATTCCTAACTTAAAAAACAAAAGATTTATATGATGAAAACTTCAGAACACGATTACAAGAAACCAAGAGCGACCTCAAGAAATGAAAGAACATCCCATGCTCGTGGATCGAAAGAATCAATAGAGTAAAGATGCCAGTTCTGCCCAAAGCACTATATAAGTTTAATGCAATCCCAATACAATTATCATCATCTTTCTTCAAGGAATTGGAAAAACTGATTAAAAACTTTATATGGAGAGGGAAGAAGCCCCGAATTAGCAGAGAACTCCTCAAGAAGAAGAACAGAGTGGGAAGGCTTGCGTTACCTGACTTTAGGACCTATCATATAGCCAAGTGGTCAAAACTGCCTAGTTTGGGTATAATGACAGATACCCAGACCAATGGAAAAATTCTAAAAACCCAGAAATAAAATCATCAGCATATAGACAACTGATTTTTTTTATAAGGGCCAAAAAATAACAAATGGGACATGGGTGCCCTCTTCAACAAGTGGTGCTGGAAAAAAGTGTATATCTACCTACAAAAAAAATGAAGTAAGACCCTTATCTCACTCCATGCACAAGAATAAACTCAAAGTGGATCACAGACCTCGAGGTAAAATCCCAAACTAGTAGGGTCATCAATGAGGGAATTTGGGGCAAACTTGAGAACTTTGGTGCAGGGAATACATAGGCTATCAGAGATAGGGAAGGACACAAATAAGATGAGTCACAAATTGACAAGTGGAATACACTGAAGATAAAACACCTGTGTACATAGAAAGAATTCACCAAGAGTGTAATAAGAGCGCTCACAGACTAGGAAAACATCTTTAGCAATGACACATCAGACAAAGGCCTTATTACTAAAATCTACAATACTCAGCTAGCTTCCCAAAAGAAAACAACTAATTGCCCACTGAGGAGGTGGGCAAAGGACCTGAACAGAAGTTTCACAAGGGCAGAAATCTGAATGGTCAATACACACATGAAAAAATGTTCCTGATTATTAACCATAAAAAAATGCAAATTAAAACAACAATGAGATATCACCTAGCACCCTCAAAGATAACAAACTTTTTAAAAAAATCAAAAGCAACAAGGGTTAGAAGGGTTGTGGTGAGACAGCAACTCTCATCTACTGCTGATGGACCTGTAGGTATGTATAGTCACTATTGAAATTGATTTGGCATTATCTAAAACAGATAGAAATTGAGCTACCATACAACCCAGCAATCCCCCTACTGGGCATATACCCAGAAGGGCAAGAAACAAACCAAGGCCAGACATCTGTGCTCCAATGTTCATTGTGGCACAGTTCACAATTGCAAGGAGTTGGGAACAACCCAAATTTCCATCAACAGACCAATGGATTAAAAAACTGGTACATACATACAATGGAGTACTATGCATCCCTAAAAAGCAATGATGAATGCATGAAGTACATTGCCGCATGGGAAGAACTGGAGGAAATTATGCTAAGCAAAGTAAGTCAAGCACAAAAGGACAAGTACAATATGAGTCTGCTGAGGTAAGTTTAAAAATGCAAAAGTGGCATAGGGAAAACACTACTGTATATAAATATTCCTGGGGTGAGGTCCAGGTAGTATGGCAGGGGCCAGACCAAATCCAGGTCTGGTAGCCATATGGTACCACATATGGTAGCCAACTAAAATAGAGGGGAGGCGAAGAAAAAAAGACATGGGTATCAGGGGGACAGGGTACTAACGCACCCAAGGGAGGGTATTATTTACATCTCCACAGGGAAAGAGGGACCAGACTTCAACCTGGTGCTCCAAAACATGAATGCAACATATGGCATTGAGCAGGGAACAAATAGAGACGTCTGAGTGGCCAGCTGCAATCCTAACTACGTGAGCAGCCCCCCCGCCACCCCACCCCCACCCCCCGGCTTCCCTGCAGAAGAATTCACTTCAGAGGACAATACTGAAACAAGCACTGAAGCTATAGCTCGAGGGACATGTCTGATTAGAGCACACAGGAACAAATGAAGTGAGAGGAAGAGCGAGCGGAGCACAACCTTGTCACCAAGTCCTGAGGACGATATTCCTGCTCAGAGCAGCCAATGCACAGAGAGGATCATAGGGCCAGCCCCACTATTAGACACAATGTCCCTTACTGACCTAGAGCGCTACAGGACACAACACTGGAGACACGGTGCGGGAATTGTGCTGACCCCACCACACTGAGGCAAACCACTAAGGGTGTGCAACAAAACAGCAAGTCTCGAGGGAGTACCAAAAATAGACTGTGGGGCTAGGGCATGGTACCCCATCAGACTCTACCAGAAAACACTCCTAAAGGTCGACAGACAGACCTTGAACTATTTATAGTCTTTTCTTTTTTTGTCATTGGTTTTTGTTGTTATTTAGTTTTCTTTTGTTGCTTTGTTTCCCTGTCTTGCGTTTTGTGCATATTATTATCTCTGCAAGGCTATCTAGATAAGAGTGCTAAACAATTTGGAGGAGAAAACAATGGTACTGACGGTTCCAGGGGGACATGGGAGGGAGGGCGGGAAGGAAGAGGGTGTTAACAAACCCAAGGGCCAATGGAACAACAAGTAAAATCGATGGGGAGGAGAGCATAGGAGGCGTGGTAAGGTGTGATCAAGGGCAATGTAACTCATTGGGAGAGGTCTAAATACAGGTATGTCCATCTGTAAATATATTTTTTATGACCATAGGGAAATAAATCTATGTACATATAATTATAGGTTTAGTATTAAGGTAGCAGATGGACATTGGGCCTCTACTCAAGTACTCCCTCAACACAAGAACACTTTGTTCTATTAACCTGGCATTCCATGATGCTCATTTCCCAACATGATTGCTGAAGACAAAGCAGGTTGCAGAAGTAAAGCTGATGGTGCCCAGCTATCAAAAGATATAGCATCTGGGGGGTCTCAAAGGTTTGAAGATAAACAAGTGGCCAACTAGCTGAGAAGCAACAAAGGCCACATGGAAAAAGCACACCAGCCTGTGTGATCATGAGTTATCGATGGGATCAGGTATCAGGCATCAAAGTCCCAGAACAAAAAATCATATCATTGTGAATGAGGGGGAGTGCATAGTGGGGACCCAAAGTGCATCTGTAGATAACTGGACATCCCCATGCAGAAGGGTTGTGGGGAGGCGACAAGCCATTCAAGGTCAGTATAGCACCAATGAAACATACAACTTTCCTCTAGTTCTTTAATTCTTCCTCCCCACCACTATTATGATGCCAATTCTACCTTACTAATCCAGATAGACCAGAGGATGTTCACTGGTACAGATAACAGCTGGAAACACAGGACAGATAAACCCCTCAGGCCTAATAATGAGAGTAGCAATACCAGGAGGGTAAGGGAAAGGTGGGGGGAGATAAGGCGACTGATCATAATAGCCTTCATATCACCCCCTCCCTGGGGGACAGACAACAGAAAAGTGGGTGAAGGGAGACATCGGATAGTATAAGACGTGAAAAAATAATAATAATTTATAAATTATCAATGGTTCATGAGGGATGAGAAAAATGAGGAGCTGATACCAAGGGCTTAAGTAGAAAGAAAATGTTTTGGAAACAATAATGGCAACAAATGGACAAATGTGCTTGACACAACAGATGGATGTATGGACTGTGATAAGAGTTGTATGAGCCCCCAATAAAATGATTTAGAAAAAAAAAAAAGATGTATATGTTCTCAAACTTATTTGACCTACCCCCTCCTCTGCAGGGGTTAAAAAAAATCCAGTGCCCCTGTGTCAATTAAAAACTTTTGTTCTATAGCCCATAACCTGGGATAAAGTGTAGGTATCTGCTTCTTCAACCCCCTGGATCATTCCATCACCCCCGACAAGGGGTGCTATCAAGTACTTCAGGAAAAACTGTTACAGCCTAAGAAAGCCTACATAGGGTCATTATTGAGTTAGAATCAACTTGATGGTGGTAGGTTTGGGTTTTGGTTACATACAAAAGAATACTGACCACACGATAAGAAATAATAAAGTTGTGGCGTACACATAATATAAAAATATTTAAAAGCAGAAAACAAGTTTAAAACATATTTTCCTGTTTTTACACTTGTCCTTCCACTCTCTTCCCCAGTCCAGCAGGTACAGCATGATTGGGGCTGCAATAGGCCGCCAGTACGCCAAATAATATTATGTGGATACTAGATTTTCTAATCCAAACAAGTGTTCTATCTGAGTGAGTTTTACACCATAATACCAACACGCATTGTTCAAGGTATTAAAAAAACAAACCAAAACTCTTTAAACACACCTTGTCCATTCGGTCTCTTTCTACTCCAAACCGGCCTCCGTAGCCGTGAGATGCTTTGGGCCCCGATTCCATTTCTTTCTTCTTGAGAACGCCATGCTCCTCCGACACTTTGTTCCTCAGCTGGTGGATGCTGGAAGTAACCACATGACAGAAACGTAGGTAGCACAAGGTCACCACACCGCCTTCTCAGACAAAGGGAAGCCTTGAGGTCTTTTCTGTCTGCTGTTTGCAATAACCTGAGCCTCCACCACATACGCGTAATGGGTCTGGAAATAAGAAAGCAGAGTGGCGTACACACCATAGCTTGATTGAAATGCTCCTTAAGCCAACATTAGTTCTGCTAGTCTGCTACTTTGCTCACTCAAATCATTTTCTGATCTTTGGCCCAGGTTCTCATGTTCCCAACTATCAGAGCACCCTGATACCTATGTATAGTCCAGTGATTTTCGCTCTAAATGGACTTAGTTCTAGCCATTAAGTAACCTGTTTCAAACATATAAATATTACGTCTTTTTTTACTTATACATTCTTGTACTGGGCACCTATGGGAATAACGTTAAATATAGAAAAGCTTAATTATACATAAGAAGAAGAATCAAGAAAACAATCTACATGGCTAGTACTTGCAATGTCAATTTTCTAAGGCATATTGCAAAAAAAAATTCTAAATCATTGTGATTGAGTTGATTCTGACTCATGGAGTCTTCATAGGACAGAGTGGAAGTGCTCTTTGGGGTTTCTATAACATTTTATGGGAGCAGACAGCTTCCTCTTTCTCCCGAGGAGGGGCTGGTAGGATCGAATGCCAGACATTGTAGTTAGCAGCCCAGCACTTACCCCTACATCACCAGGGTCCTTCAGGGTAGATTAGTAAGTCTTCAGAAATTATATTTATGAAAATATGTAGCATTAGGAAACATTATCTACCTATGAGCATTTGTGTATTTTTTTTAATTAAACATTTTTCTATTTTTTTCTATTGTGTATTTTCTTGTCATGAATTAGCCCCCTTCCTCCCAAAAGCCTGATCTGATCATTCCTGAGAAAACTAATAAATGAAAATTGAGTTTAAAATTCACCCATCATTAATTTCTCTAGCACTTTAGGACCTAAATAACCTTGGTTTGGGACACTCTGCTCCTCCGAGAAAGGAGCTGTGCCCACATCGGCGCCCAGCTGCAGTTCCTGCTCTCATCAAGATTACAATTAGGAAGGCTCATGGCCAGTTCGTCTCTGTCACGTGGGGTGGCCACGAGTCCAATTCAACCAGAAGACACCCAACAAGAGCAGCAACCGCCAAGAGAAAGCAATGCCCAAGCAGGCAGCCTCTGGCTTACTCCCCTCTCACTTCCATCTGTACAGGAGAAGAGCTGCACCCTGGAGTGTAGCAAATGTCCATAGGGAACTGTAACTCAGTGCCAGCACTAACAAGTGACAATCAACTGAGAAGCAGACACACAGCAGAACCACAGGGGCAGGGGGGGAGGAGGGGTGGGAGTGGGGTGCTGTTTAGAAACATTTGGGCCAGGGAATTCTCAATAAAAAAGGACTTCCTGTAGCAAGCAAGGGAGGGTTGGAAGTATTGAAATAGCAATGGAACTGAGACTCCATCTAGAATCACTAGCTGGGGAAACCACATCATTGGGTTACAGCAGGATGGCCATCCCACAGCTGGCAGCCTTGTGTGATTATCTCGTTAATGGCCTTTAAAAACATATCGGAAGGAGGAGCTTTCGCCAGTTTAATTTTAGAAAGCTGGCTTTAACCCCGATGAACAGAAGCTGAGTGCTGGAAGAACCCTCTGTAACCACGCCTGCTCTAAAGCCTCTGGCAAGCGTGAAAGCAGAGATCCTTGTTTCGCTAGTTCATCAACACCAATGACTGAGGACCGTGCTCAAGGTCAAAAAGAGCAAGTGGTTCCAAGAACATAACAACGACTCTTCAACATTACCCAACTCAAGTATTCAGAGCAAGAGTGAAGGAAATGGAGTCAAATTACTTTCAAATGGGAAAATTCAGTTAAACGCTTTAATGATCCCAATGATTGTTCCATGGATCCTATCTATATTACAGTTGAAATAAGTTTTTTTAATTAATTAGAAAATGAGATGTCCAACTAGCGGACCAGTCAAGGGATCATGCCAACCGATGGTGTAATTTGAAGGAAACAGTTGAAGCTTGAGAAGATCCACTCCTTATCAAACTCTTTAGGTTAGAGCTGAAGCTAGTTCAAGTAAGTCCTACCTACATCATTCCTTTGCTCAGCAAATCTTCATTGAGCAAATGTGGAGTGTCGGGCAGTGTTAGGTGGCAGGATGCCAGGCTGATGGGTGTATGGAGAAGGTGGCCAGATGGAACAAATCATTGGGGAAAAACATGTGGAAGACCTGAACACCACAAACACTTCAGGGGAAGAGGGGGGAAAGAAGGCCTAACGAAGTGAAAACATATCCGGACTAGAAAACTCACTACCTCCAAGAGGTCAATTCTCCCTAAAGTGGTCTCTAGATTCTGTACAATCTCAATATTCTAACAAGTACTTTAGCAGGAATTAACTAACTGGCTCAAGAACGGATGTGGAAATGTAAAGTCCTACAAGAGTGAAAAGGATTTTTTTTCTTTTAATCCTTTAAATGACAAAATTTATCAAGGTAATTTCTTCTTAGCTCTGGACACACAGAATCCAGGACAGATAAATCCCTCAGAAACAGCAATGGGAGTAGTAAAACCATGAGGGTAGGTGGAAGATATGGGGAGAAGGGGAAGAAAGGGGGAACCAATTGCAATGATGGATGTTTAACACCTCTCCCCTTCTTAGGGGGACTAACAACAGAAACACAGGTAAAGGGAGACAGCAGATGGTGTAAGATATGAAAATAATAATAATTTATCAAGGGTTCACAAGGGTGGGAGGGCGTAGGAGGGAGGGGGAAAAGAGGAACTAATACCAAGGGTTCAAGTAGAAAGAAAATATTTTGGAAAGGATTATAGCAATCTATGTACAAATGTGCTTGATACAACTGATGTGGGGATGTAGAACCTCCAATAAAATGATTTCTTAAATAAAAAAAAAAGATAATCTCTTCTGGCCATTTTCAAATCCTGGGATTCAGTATTTGTGGGACTTCTACCATATAACCATAGATCCTTAGAGCAGCTATCAAACAATATGATTGTCCTAAAAGGGCTACCAGTATGTCAATAGAGTTGTTTCTTAACTACCAAACAAAAGAAGAAAGTATTAAATTAAAAATCTCCTAGAGAGCTCAGCTCTTATGAGTCTGATGGCAGTATATTATTGAGGTCCATCTGCAATGCACTTAAAAAGTCATTCTAGACAGAACAGCAACCTTAAAGGAAAGCTTAGCTCGTGGGTCTCATAGGTCCGTCCCATAGGTCTCCTTTGTTCAACTTATGGGGGCTGGAGAGATGCATCACCAAGCCACTCCCCAAACTAAATTTACTCAAGACGAGCTAAAAAAAAAAAGGATGATGAAAACCACATTCACTTCCTTTTCCTGCTTTGAATCATCTCAGCCCTACAGCTACCGTTCTCTCTCCAACTTCCCTTCCCCTCCAAAGACCTTAGTGATTCCTTTCTGACCCTAACGACGGGCACAGCCCAACACTAGCTGTAAAAACCACTTGTCTGTCAGCGTGTTGGACTGCGGTGGCTTGCACGTTGCTGTGATGCTAGAAGCTATTCCACTGGTCGTTCAAGTACCAGCCAGGTCCCCAAAGGTTAACATGTTTCAGCAGAGCTTTCGGGACTAAGAACAGACTACAAAGATGAACTAGGCTGTCAACTTCGGAGGACTTCGGAGGAGTTTCCGAGGAGAACCTTAGGAATAGCATGTCACCCTTGGTGAACTGTGAGGAGCACCGGAGGTCATGGTTAAGGTGCTGCGCCAACTTGGCTGGACCAGGAAGTTCAGTGGTTTGACAGTTATCTCATGATGTAGTCTGGCAGTTGAAGGGTGATAAATGTGGTGGGTATGTCATGATGTAATTTGGCAGTTATATAATAATGTAGTCATCATACCCGTTGGTGTTCATTACTTTCAGGTATGCATCGTTAACATGCACAATGGTCACAAAGTAGTTTTTTTTAACCACGATCATAAATGGAAAAATGCCAGATAATGAGATTGTCAACAAGTGAGAGCAGGTGTGATAGGGAAAGATTCAAGAAAAAACACACACATTGACAACCAGATGAGCTCTCCTCTCTTTTGCCTTTCTTCTCACCCTTCCACGAGTCTCCGAGTTTCCCCTGGGTTCTTCCTTCACACCCCTTTTTCTCTCCCCAGTTCTCTTGGCACCTACTTGATGTGTTCTGCGCGCCCAGAGCCCTCGATGGTCTTGGCTCCCCACCGCTGTTCCTTCTCAGAGATGTCATTCTGCAAAAGACAGCACTCAGCAGGGAGCAATGGGAAGAGAGGTGCCACACTAGGGGTCACACGGCTGCGACACGTGTCCAGCACTTCTCCTTCAGCCTGCTTCTTTAGTCAGTTTCCTCTCTCAGTTGACCCCACTCTCATCACTGGTTAAAAATGAGCCTGGTAAACTGAACCAACTTCCTTCCTACTCCACACCCCTCATATTTTTCCTTCCACTTCTTTCCAACTTCCCAATCCCTCCCAACCACACATGTCCTGGATGAGAGACCAACAGAGCCCCTGTGAACTTGCTTTTCATTTTTGGCATAGCCTGTCATAACCTGTCAATCCCACTGTCCAACTCTTCTACACCTGTCTCCTTCTATCTTCAACATCAGATACCACACTTGCTCACTCATGAGGCCAACCTGGCCTAGAAGTGGCCCCTGATGAGTGCTGTATCCATTCCAGACTGCTTTCCCAACCTGTCAGAGGTCACACCGCAGCCCAGAGGCTTCCACCAGCACCCTCATCATCACTTCCAAACTCACCACAAAGTCAGGGTCAGTGTCCCAGTCATCTCCCTGGGTCTCCACAGAGATAGATACATCGTGCCCCACTACAGATTTCCACATCTGAGGGCGACAGAAGATAGGAATAGTTAGATGAAACGATCAAGAGTAGAGGGGGAGAGGAAAGATGCTGGAGCCAAGAACAACACAACAAGCTCCAGGTGTTTCTTGCTGTTTATGTTGATGTTGTTATGTTGTTAGCTGCTGTGTAGTCCGTTCTGTCTCATAATGATCCTGTGAACAACAGAACAAAGCACAACCCCGTCCTGTGACAGCCTCACAATTGTAGTAATGTGTGAGCCCACGGTTGCAGGCGCTGCATCAATCCATCTCTCTGAGAGTCTTCCTCCTTCATGGTGACCGCTACTTTACCGAGCATGATACCTTATGTATATTAAGAACAGAAACTCAGAGGGAGAGCGGGTGAGCGTTTTAGACCACTGCATGCTGAGTGAAATAAGTCAGTCACAAAAAGAGAAAATATTGCTTGATCTTATGAATATAAAACACGTAGAATAGGCAATCTTACAAAAATCAGAGTTTAACAGTGGTCACTAGGAGCAAGAAGGGAAGGGAAAGAGGGGGCTCTTTGCTTAGCCAACCTTGCGTGCTTCTATTTATGAGGCTGGACAACGTGGCAATCCGTGTGGGTGATGGCTCCACAACCTGATTGAGGTCATTGGCTTTATTGAATTATACAATTCCATATTTAAAAAATGTCGAATTGGCAAAAGTTGTATGACCTATATTTCTATAACAACTTTTGTTTTAAGGACAAAACTTCTGTTCCATTTGGGGTGGAAGGGGTGCTTATTCAAGAGACACTGAGTCTTGGGCGAAGCCATCTTGGGTGTTGCTGCTATCGTGGCATTGGCCCAGACTCACAGTGGCCTTGTGCGCAACAAAACCTGGTTGTCAAAACGACTGCCTGTGAGATTCGGAGAGGACACTGGAGAAGTAGCGACGGAGGTGCCTAACTATGAGTAGGTCTAAGAGGAGTTCTACCTGCCCCATCAGGCTGACAGTTATGGGTGGGGGCAGGTGGACGATACCTATTGATCCTGCCTCCTGGCTGCTCTGTCTCTCAAGCCCTGACTCTTGGGCTGGGCTACAGCAACAGGACTTACTGCAGAAAACTAGAAAGGAGAAGCTTCTGAAGGATCCGTGTGCAATGAGGAAGCAACGAAGACTGGTAACCCTGTCCTCCAATCGACTGCTCCTCTGAGTCCTCAATCTGATTCCCCCAGAAGCCTCCCATGTTAACCCATTCTTGAAATACAGGGCAGAGTTTCTGACCTAGAAACAATATGGTATCAAAGGCTACTGGCCGGAAACAGGGAAGCCAGGAAGTGTTCTCTAGCGAAGGGAGGCCGAAGAAGATTGTGGTTGGACAGGGCCCTTAGGCACAGTGAAGGGTCTCATCCCAGGACTGACTTACAACTTCAGTACACTGTGTGTACTAGTAGTTGGAAGACTTGGGTAAGAATCCTTGTGGGCACACAGTTAAGAGAATCCACATAAAGTATGTATTTAAATGCCAGACAGCAGTCCAGAGTAGGCCATTAAAGAATTCAGCAAATCACGGAATAATTATTGGTTGTTTCTCCACTGGAAAACTAGATGCCAGGCTCAACCTGGCTAATCTAAAGAAGTCCCATTTCTGATATTCTGTGAGCCTTCAATCACAGAAGCTAGTTCCAACGAGCCATGACTCCGTCTGCTTGGTTCTCAACACTGCCATACAGTAGCTAGTACTTCCTGGTCTGTTACTCCATTTCTGGTGTGGATTTTGCCTCCCTGGCTCGACTATAAGTAAGCTCTTCGAGGACAAGGACTTCACCTTTGTATCCTGTGGTCCTCTCACCTCGGTGCCTAGCCACAGCAGACCCAGAGAGGGTTGTAGGTCATCAGAAGAGAGCGGACAGCACTTGGCTTGGTCTGGGGTCTTGGCAGGCTGCTGACTGAAGTGCTTTGGCCCCCAGTCCTCTCTCTGTTTCTACCTGCGGATTCTCATTATCCACAACCCTTCACACCCTGGCCTTGTAGTCAGTCACACAAGGCTTCAAAGGCTAATAGCAGCACCCCTTAGCCTCCTCAAGGACTCAGAGGTAAGTTCCTCTGACTTCTACTTATGCTCCCCACCTCCCCCAAACCCCACCCGACCCTCCCTCCCACACCCCCACTGCTCACCTCCAACAGTGTGAGTGACTGCTCTCGGCTTCCAAATCCTCACAACCACACCCGGCTGCCGCTCTCTGGCTGCTGCCACTCAGATCAAGAAATTCTGAGCTGCTGCTTCAGTTCCGTATTCAGGTTTGCTGTCATTTCCTGCCACCCTGTCCTCACAGCTACTTCCTGAAGTTTAAGTCAGGTCCTTCTGCTTAGGGACTTATGATTTAAAAGGATTCATGAAATGCCTCTGTGCCTGCTCTTTTTGCAAGGCATTGCGGAGCCCGGGGAAGTCATAGAAAATGCTGTGCTTGCTAAGTTTATAATCTAGGCAAGGGAGCACAATATTTGAGCAGAAAACTCGAGCAGAGAAGCATGAGCTAGGACTGCATGTTGACTGCCTAAAATTGACAGGGCGGTTGCATCTGTGGCAATTTAAAGGATATGCGATGGGCTCTTCTGATTCTGGACCACCCCCTGAGAGTCACAATCCAAGTCTGCTCCATATGGTTTTCAGTTGGAGTTTTTGCTTAGTTTGGAAGTACTTCTCCAGGCGGTTCTTCCAAGGAGCCCCTGGGTGGACTCAGACGTCCAAGCTTTGGGTTGGCAGCTGAGCATGTTTACCACCCATAGGCTCTGAGATGGCCTGTGCTGATCAATAAGCCCTTCATGGGAAAGTGATTTTATGTCGGTCTTGAATGGTAAGATGAAAACAAACAAACAAACAAACAAACAAACCACTTTCTTATTGCGAATTGGGTGAAGATTCACAGAGCATATAATTGTTCCAGTCAACCATTCATACCCATTTTGTGTCTCTCATCGACTGTAATCCCCACAAGGAACACCCCTCTGCCCACTTCCATCTGGTTTCCCATTTCCCTTCTTCATCTTTCCTCTTTCTGCCTTGTGAACTTTTACCCTTGGGTAAATGTTGCCTTTCTAACAAATCCCAAGTGTCGTTTCAAGAAGACTTTACCTCCTTTGTGCTAGTGTTCCCCTTCCAAAACACCGAACTCACCGCCATCTAGTTGATGCTGACTCACAGCGACCCTCTACGACAGGGTAGAGCCTTCATGGGTTTCCGAGACTGTTCACTGGAGTAGAAAGCCTCATCTTTCTCCCGAGGAGTGGCTGGTGATTTCAAACTTCAGACCTTGGGGATCACAGCCTGAGAAGTAACCACTGCACCACCAGGGCTCCTTTATGTACAGTAGATGTTCAAATAAATAGTGAAGAGCTGAGGAAATAGTGAAATGCTGAGGAATTACCGAGGCAGGGAAAAGCAAGACATGAGGGCAAAACGGTGTATGCAGGTTTTTCCAGCAGTGCGCAGTAATCTACGCTCACTAGTCCAAAGATCCAGACAGTAGCAAGTCTGAAAGAACCCTAAGGCACCAGCTGCTTGACAGTCTTCGTGGCATTCTGTATGTATGACTGTTCATGAGATTTGCTGCCCTTCCTTTGCAGTCAGAATTGGTCAGGTGACTCATTGGGGCCAGTGAAATGTGACAACAGAAGTACATCCCTTCCTCAGAGAGGCTTTTAAGACCAGCATAAGCTTTGCCGTGCAACCTGCAATTCTCCAGAGTGCTTCCTTCGGCAGCCCAAGTCCTCAACTGAAGCTGTTGCTGCTGTTAGCTGAAAGGTCAGTGGTTTGAGCCCACCAGTGGCTGTGCAGGAGCAAGATGTGGCAGCCTGCTTCTGTAAGGATTTATATGGGCTTGGAAACCCTGCAGGGCAGTTCTCCTGTGTCCAATAGTGTCACTGTCTCACAAGCAACTGGATAGCAGTTGTTGTTGTTGTTGTTGTTGTCAGGTGTTGTCGTGGGTCCCTCGATGTATAACAGAACACAGTGATTACACTTGAACCCATTGTTGCAGCCGCTGTGTCAATCCCTCGCCTTGAGGGTCTTTGCTCTTTTTTGCTGCCCCTCCACTTTAAGAAGTAGACTTTTTCAGGGACTAGTTTCTCCCAGTAATGTACCCAAAGTCTCACTATCCTTGCTTCTAAGGTACAGTCTGAGTGTACTTTCATACTTCTTTTAAGATAGATTCGTTGTTCTGGCCATCCATGGGACTTTCAATATTCTTTGCCAACACCATAATTCAAATGCATTGATTCTTCTTTGGTCTTCTTTATTCATTGTTTAACTTTCCCATGCATGTGAGGTGATTGAAAACACCATGGCTTGGGTCAGGAGCACCTTAGTCCTCAAAGTGACACCCTTCCTCGTGAACATTGTACACTGAGGTCTTTTGTAGCAGATTTTCCCAATACAATCCATCATGTGATTTCAGGACTGCCACTTCTTTGAGGGTCGATGGTGGACCCAAGTAAAATTCAATCTTTGATAACATCAGCTGAGGTAATTAGTTTATTGTGCCAACCTGGCTGATTAACTATGTGGGATTAATTGAAGGGTGGAGGGATAAATGGCTCGGTGAGCCTAGCCTTTCTTGTCTCTTGCTCTTTGATCATTGGACCAGTGTGCAGCTGCCTTGCTTGTTCTGTGCAATTTACAAGCTACACTACCTGTGGGACCCCTAGGAGATCCCAGAAAGGGGCTGTAGTGCTGCTGGTGTCCACTTATGAGTGGCACCTGCATATCTAGCAGAGTCATCCATTAACCAAGCATGACCTTTTTGGTCTTCAGTTAAAGTATGGGAAGGAACTCACCAGGAGGCTATAGGTGCAGACAGGGAGGAAGTAATGTGACAGGAGTGGAAACTGTGAGCATTTGGACTTACAGAATGCCTCATCCACTGGCATGACATGCCACATAGCATTGCTTCAGATCAAGGAACTCACTTCACAGCAAATGCAGCGCAGAAATGGGCCCATTCCCATGGAATCCACTGGTCGTATCACGTTCCTCATCATCCTGAAGCTGCTGGCTTGATAGAACGATGGAATGGGTTCCTAAAGACACAATTACGCTGTCAACTGTGTGGCAACAACTTGCGGGGCTGGGGCAATGTTCTCCAGGAAGCTGTATATGCTGTAAACCAGCGGCCAATATATGATGCTGTGTCTCCAATAGTCAGAATTCATGGGTCAATGAACCAAGGGGTGGAAGCTGGAGTGGCACCACTCACTATTACTCCTAGTGATCCACTTGCAGCATTTTTGCTTCCTGTCACAGCAACCCTGTGCTCCTCAGGCCTGGAGGTCCTAGTCCCAAAGGAAAGAACTCTCCCACCTGGAAACAGCATGGATTCCACTGAACTGGCAGCTGAGAATGGCCCCTGGCCACTTTGGGCTTCTCATGCCTTTGGATCAACAGGTCAGGAAGGGTGTCACTGTACTGAGTGGTGTGATTGATCCTGAATACCAAGGAGAAATTGGACTGGTGGTACATAATGGAGGTAAAGAAGAATATGTTTGGAATCCAGCAGATTCCATAGGCCGACTCAATGCTACCATGCTCTATAATTCAAGTAAATGGTAAATTACAGCAACCCAATCCTGACAGGACTTATAATGACCCAGACCCCTCAGGGATGAAGGTCTGGGTCACTCCACCAGGCAAAAAACGACAGCCAGCTGAGGTGCTTGCTGAGGACAAAGGTAATACACAATGGATAGTAGAAGGTAGTTCTACCTATCAATTACGACCACGTGATCAGTTGCAAAAGCGAAGTTTGTAATTTTCAGTGTATTTTCATGTGTTTATTGCATATCTTTCCTTCATTCAGGTATGTCAGATATAATTGGACTGTTTTCATTTATATGTATGATAGATGATTAAGTATAAGTGTGATTTCATCAATGTCCGTAAATTATATATGTATATATGGCTAAAGAATTGTGTACAAGTCTCAAGTTGGCAAGGGGTGGATTGAGGTAGTTAGTTTATTGTGGCCGATAAACACATGTGGGATTAATTGAAGGGCAGAGAGATAAATGGCTCGGTGAGCCTCGACTTTCTTGTCTTTTGATCTTTGACCACCAGAACAGTGGGCAGCTGCCTTGCTTGTTCTGTCCCTCAATTTGCAATCTACACTACCTCTGGGACACCTAACCCGTGGAGTGTCTCTGAAATTTGAGGTTCCTTCAAGACCTGCTTCGCCACACAATTGGAATTTACATCTCTTGGTCATCTGGCTGACTATTGGTGACCTGCATTGCTGTTTGCTGCCTGTGCCGAGAGAGCCTGAATTGCTCTACAGAGGACTACCTGGCAGCCCTCAAGACTTTAAAGACTACCAGTGTCTCACAGCTGCCTCACGGGAGTGAGTTGCACTGAGCCATTTGTACTGCTTATAATTTAATTAACTGTTTATTTCTTATGTTATATAGCTATCTGTATAAATATGTATAAAATTATTAGCAATCTGGTTTTGTCTCTCTAGAGAACTCTGTCTAAAACATCAGCCTTTTCTATTTATCACGTTGTCTATTGGTTCAGTTGTGAGGATTTTGGTTTTCTGTACATTGAGTTGCAATCTTTGGTTTTCATCAGCAAGCGCCTCAAGTCCTCCTGGCTTTCAGCAAGTAAGGTTTTCATCTGTGTTATCACTTTCCTCCGTTCCTGATGCCGAGTTCATCTTCACACCGTCTAGTTTCATAGATCACTTGCTCAGCATACAGAATGAATACATACAACAAAAGGATCCAACGCAGACACACACTTTCCTGATTTTAAACACAATCCACACTGGGTTAGAATGATTGCCTCTGGGTCCATGTACAGGTTCCACATAATCATGATGAAGTGCTATATAATTTTTATTCTTTCGGTGCTATCCATAGCTTGTTATGATCCACAGAGAAGAAATTTGTAGAAAAGTCATGACTTGAAATTCTCAAGGTTAAAAATAGGAATTATCAGGTATTTGACACATCATCTAGGTACACTTCCCTACCAAAATCCTAGAATTTCATCACAGATGACACCAGGAAACCCTACCACCCTTGAGCAAAAATTCTAAGAACATTTCTACAGGAAGCAGTGGCCTGTGGAAATGGCATGTTTGGGAGCCACGTCAATTCACTTGTCACTTATTGAACCTTGAGAAAATGTGCTAGCTTTTCTCAAGCAGCCATTTACATAACATGTAATGCCCAGAGCAAATCTAAACCCTGAGACTATCAGCCTAAGACATCTTTCCCCCCTCCCCCCGGGAGGGAAATTACTCCTGGGGGTCACCTTTCAGCCAAATGACAGTGGCCTACAAGATAAGCATTAATACCTATGGGGAATGTGTTAAACAATCTTTAAACAATCAACTACAGGAAAGGAAACCATCAATGAGCATTTACATAAATGCAAAGGTGAGCTGGCAAGGATGGAAACAGGGCAGGTGAGGTAGAAATGTGTGTGCTCTGAGGGAATGGAAGGTAAGATTGTAATCAGTGTCACAGAACAATGGGTGTGTGACTTATTGAATGAGAAGCAAAACAACTGTCAACATTCACTTGACAGAATACTCAAATAAAACATAACCTGTTACATTGGTAACCACTTATGTGTAATTTTAACTCATGGTGAGCCCCATATGTGTAATTGTACACCATGGTTTTCCCTACCTGTAATCTCAGAGGTGGTCTCCAGGTGGCACAACCAGTTTGCTCTTGACTATTAACCTGAAGGTTTGTGGTTTAAACCCACCCAGAAGCATCACAGAAAAAAATGCCTGGCAAGTGAACTGTTGTAAAGTTGACAGCCCAGACCACCCTGATGGGCATATGAGGTAGCTGCAAGGTCCTTCAGAGATGAGACTGAGCAAGACCTTTAATCAATAGATTGAGGGAGGTGAGGTTTATAGGGAACAGGAAGTCAAAGGAAATGAGGTGAAAGGAGTTTAGGATAGCCAGATAGACTAGACCTGGCCCTTTGTCTAAAGCCAGAAAATTAGCTAACTTAAAAGGTATTGAGACCACGAGAGGTGCTATTACACAAAGGAAGAGAAACTTAGGTTTAATATGGACCCGGTAACAACAGCGTTTAGCGAGGAAAGAGTTAAAGGGCTCTGGTGCCACAGCTGGCAGAAAAGGACAGCAGAAAGAGCCGAAGTGCCAGGTAGCAGTGAGCAGGGGCCAGAAACGAGAGAGAGAACAAAGGAAAATTTCAGAGTGTTTATATTAGGGTACATTTCGTAGACATGACAAATGCCGCACATCTTTCTGGTTGGTGTGGGGTAGCTCCAAGGGGCTGGGCGCCAGCTGAGGTCACTTAATTGGGCGAGAAGATGGGTGCAGGAAGCTTTGTCAATGGAAGACATGTCTGCTGCTGTCCTTGGTTTAACGCTGCCACCGAACCCGAGAGCAGCCGCAAGTCAAAACTGACTCACCACCACCACCAGATTTGGTTTAAATTTTATGTAAGTATTCGCCAGGCTTTTTATCCAAGGCATACCTGAGTTTTCGGTGAGTGGCCAAGCACAAACCATTTTACCCACCCTGGTACCTACCACACAATGCCCACCTGATCAGCTCTACACTATTAGAGTTCCCTTCCTCCACGCCAATCCTGAGAAATCCAGTGAGGCCAAATGTTTTCAGTACGCACCAGACAAGGCTTCTCCCACGTGTATTCTCTGCTCTAAGGATTCATGAATCTCATGACCTAAGGCCCGGCCTGGTTAGTTTAGTGCAGCGGTTCTCAACCTGTGACGCTTTCACAGGGGTCATTGATTCTTAACAGTAGCAAAATTACAGTTCTGAAATACCAATGAAAATA